GACGGACTGGGGCGCGCGCGCCGGGCGCTGCTCCTGGCGTCAGGGAAACCCCGGAGAAGCGGATCTCCCCTTGCCTCCCCCTCCGCCTCCCCCTTCGCCCCGCCTCCCGCTCCTCGCCCCGGGGGAAGACTCTCCCCGCCTTCACCTCTCGAGTCGCCTCAGGGTGCTGAGACCTCAGGCTCGCCCCAGGCTGGGAGAACCGGGCAGGTCCCGGAGGCCGCGGCGGGCGCGTACCTTTGCTCAGCCCCGGCCCCTGGCCTCTATATAGGGCCGCAGAGGAAACCCAATGGCCTCCGGGAGGAAACCTGGGTGCACTCAGGGGTCGACTCGGGGATTTATGTGCTCGCCAAAAACAATAGCGAGCCCGCCCGGCTCCCGCTGCCCTGGCTCGGCTCCCGCGGGAGGAGCCCCGCGCCCCCTGACCTGGAGCTCCGGACCGACCGGGCCAGGGGCCAGGCTGCCGGGGGCGCGGACAAAGGTGCTCGGGGTTCGCTCCTCTGGCGATCCGGGCCCGACTCCAACCCCGTGACCACTACCACCACCCCCGAGGGCTGATTTAGGGGCCGAACTGCAGTATTTTCCCTGTACCCAGCAGGAGCGCTTAGCTCAGGGGTACCTAGGAATCCTTTCACCGGTAATCCCAGAGCAATCGGGCTACGATTTTTGAGCTACTAGGTGATCGTGAGGCAGCTTCCCAGCTCCTCAAAGTTAGCTGAAAGCAGTTTGTATAGTTCCACCACTAACGGACGAGAATGCTGATTCTGTTATGAACTGCATCCGTGGAAATTTTTTTTTCGTGGAAAATTTTCAAAAGAAAATTGCTTTGTATGTTTAGGCACTTGGAGAGTTATGCGTGGTTGCTGATATGAGTTGAATTGGTATTCGCTCTTCTGAATAATCAGCTCAATGCCTTGCTTCCCACAAGAGAATAGTTTTTTGGGGTTTTTTGTTTTTGTTTTTTTTTTCTGTAACACATCCTCCTGTGCCTTCTCTAGTTAGTTTCTTCAGATATTTTTATTATGAAGTGCCAAAATAAACAATATAAGGTAAGAACATTGAGAGGGAAGAGCTCAGAAGCTTCATAAAAGCTTCTGAAATCATCAAAATAGTGAAGTTAGGGACCCTAATCCCAGTGCTTTGCAACAATTGATTTAAAAGAGCAAACATGCTCATTTTCCATTAGGAAAACCATTTAAACATCTTTTTGTTTTGGCTAGAGTTGTTAACCAGAAAAAAATATTTCCTAAATACCCTCCTGATTGACCTGTTAAATTAGAAATAGATTACCTCCCAATTACTTCACAAGTATTTGCTTAATTAACCTTTAATAATCACATCATTATTCAGTTTTTCTGAAATAATTAATGAGAAAAGCTCTTTGGAAACTATTGCCTTGTAAATGTTAATGTTCAACTATTTTCTAAGGCGAAAGTTTTTCGTTATATTAAAACTATGAAATGTGTAATATGACTTCTAAAATGAAGCTAACATTTATCAAGTTCTGAAAAATATGAGTTGTGGCTAATAACAGACTGATTTTCATGTATGACTTCTGAAGTGTCATATTAACTTACCAGTCTACTGTGTATCTTGAATGTATATTAAAAAGCATAAAGCACTTTCTGAAAAATAGGGTGACTAAATCATGTATTTCTGACTTGTGATTAAGCCACAATTTTCACAAAAACTACTCTAATAAAAGACTAATAGATGAAGCCCCAGATAAAGTTACAGATTTTAAATCAGTTTTAAGAGTAAGAAGTAAGGTAACCCAGGCACACACTTCAGCTTTCTGATCCTTTATTCCAATGTCACTGTCAATGTTGACATCCCCTTTTTAAAAGTCATCATCTGGAGTCATTAACCTTTCCTTTGTTTAGTGAGGCATATCTGAGAAAAGATTTTCTTAGACATCTGATTCATCGTTCTCATTCTCCCGAACCAGATTCTCAACAAATACCTTAGTTCACAACTAACTACACTGCTAAGCAACATACTTTTATGCAAGTCTAAACCACTAACCTATAAACAGATATTAAACCCTTGCTAAAATTAGCACTTTTTTCATCTTAGTAAAGTTAGAACATGAGCCCCATATTAAAGGAATAGCACACAAAGAAACTTTAGAGCAAAGAAAACAGAGTGGCCATTGTATGTTAGTGCAAGTTATCGAAGTGCAGGCCAAAAATACAACAAATATTCTTGTGAAATTTACTCTGAGTATATTTTGATATAAAAATTAAATGAACATGAAAGCACATTAATATGAAACTTGGTAGGAATTTTATTCTCTATAGTAAAAGGATTTATTTTTTCAGCATTTGCAAGACAACATAGTGCAATGTTTAATTGATGCCAGTAATGAGATTCTGCCTGATTCCCTGGCCAAATCCAAATATTCAGGGTAGAGAAGAAAAAAGCTAGTGAGTGACCGTGAATTCCAGGATAGAACACTACCTAGTTACAGCAGATTTCAAGTACAAGTTATTCATGTCTTAAGAACGATTTTCTTCTGCACAAACATAGGTATTTTTACACTTGCCCTTTACGTTTCGCTAGGTAAAAAATTTTTCTCTCCCTTTCACTTGTAAAAGCCACCTGTTCTAGAAAGCCATTTCTGATTAATCCTAATTAAGAAGAATCCATGCTCCTTAAGAACAAAGCCTGCACAGTATTAATTTTATCTGTCATATATTGCTTAGTTGCACATCTTTAGATCAATAACAATCTATTAATTCAATAAATACTATTGTGGACATGTTTTTACCAACTAGTGTGCTGGATGCTGGGATAACAAAACCATTGATTCATTCATTTATTATTTAGAAAGCATTCACGTTATCTCAGGTCTTGCCTGCCGTATCTTAAAACCTATCCCTAGGTCCCTCAGGTTAACAGAGCACAGCAGTGAGACAGATTGACAAGAGTTCCCACTCTAGCAGAATAAATAAACAATTATATCAAAGCATGAATACTGGTATGGTAAAGAAAGATAAGGAGTGTGAGAAACCGTAGTAAAAACATCTAACAACTAAATTGGGAAAGTAGGTGTTAGAGTGATGGTAAATTGGAGACAAGTATTGGTCTCTAAACTGTCCCTATAAGCCATGCCTGGTGAGAATTGATCATAGATTTGCATTTAGAAGAATCATAGTCAGAAAAAAACAACTGTAACAATTCAGATTTTGTTACAGTTATCCAGGCAGGAAATAATGGTGGCTTGGAGTAAAGTAGAGGAGATGAGAGGGATTACAAGATAGAGAAAGGTAGCAGGAGTGTACAGGAGAGAGATGCATATGATTCAGGTTCCAGCATGGGAAGCAAAGTGATGGCAATGGTATTTGTCAACGGGGATGGGAGGAGGTGTGGATAAACGGGAGGCTTAGTTAAACTTTGAATAAATTGAATTTAAATTACTTATTGGGGAGCAGGCCAGATAACTGAGCGGATTAAAGCACCTGCTTAGGCAGACACATGGACCCTGTTTGATCCTGGGTGTGCAGTGCCGGCCCTACCCCCAAAGCAGGCTGAGAGAGATTGAGACTGGGCGTGGTGGTATGAGCCTATAATCACAGTGCTTGGGAGGCTGAAAAACAGGAGGATCACTACAAGTGTAGTGAGACCTTGTAGACCCTGTACTAAACGCATAAAAAAATAAATTAAAATTAATAAAATACTTACTGGATATCAGCAAACTATTAGTGATATCGATTAGTTTAGCAGGGAAGTATAGAGAGAGGAGTCAATTAGATGTACCAAAGATGACCGAGTATAAAGTTAGTCTCCGGGGCTGGGGAGATGGCTCAATGGAATAAGCGCTTCCCTGGCAAGTTCAAGGGCCTGAGTTCAATCCCCGGTTCCGCCAAAAAAATAAAAAATAAAAAAAATAAAGTTAGTCTCCATTTTTTTTCGATTACAGTCTACTTCATCTAATAAAATGGTGGCCAACTTGAATATTAATGTATTAATTTGTAATAATTTGATTTTATACCATATATAATATTATGATGATATCGTTTTAAAAGGCAATTTTACTGATACTGGTAATAGCACTCTATGATCACCAACATCACATTTCAACTCTGAGTTTGCTTTCCAAGACACACCATCTTCTATGTAAGGTGTTGGGGCTAGGGAGACAGCTTGACAGCATAAACGCCAACCTAGCAAGTGCAAGATCCCAAGTTCAATCCCTGGTACCACAGGCCAGCCCCAAAACCGGGCATGGTGTCACATACCTGTAACCACAGCACTAGGGAGGCTGAGACAGGAGGATCACTATGAGTCCAAACTACATAGCAAGACCCTGTATCAAAAAAGAAAACAAAATCTATGTAAGATGTTGACTCTCCATTATGCTGGCACTGGGGACTTTATTCCAAGCCACATGTACCTACTCATACATCATTCATCATGTAATCACATGGATTTTTGTAGTGACTTTGAAAGGCTTATTGACAAGGACATCCAATAGAGTCAAATACAAGTCACTTAAGCTTAACAACCTAAGTTGTATGGTAACAATAAGCTTGTCTTCTGGATGATTAACAACCTAAGTTTGCAGACCAAATTAGAGAAAAAAGAGGGCTGCAAGGAAAGCCAACTTTTTGGCCGTAGCCTTCCAAGGTCAATTAAGACTGAGGACATATGAGAACTTGTACTGTAACGACATGTAACTCTGTAGTGTCCCAAATTTTCTGATCAAGGAGATGATGGGGCCAAAGAAGAAAGTGATCAATGATGTAGAGTGTGCCTAAGGAGAGTCACATGGAGAGAAAACATTCTCTCAGGCTTTCACCAAGAGCACATTGGCCAAGCAATGGCCGTGACTCATCCACATGGCTGACACCGACAAAGGT